AGGTAAGTGATTTGTATACTCAGTTTGGTAGTAAAGACCACCTGGTTCAGGTAAGTGTATTGCTTACTCAGTTTGATAGTAAAGACCTGATTCAGGTAAATGTATTGCTTACTCAGTTTGATAGTAAAGAAGACCTGATTCAGGTAAATGTATTGCTTAATCAGTTTGATAGTAAAGAAGACCTGATTCAGGTAAATGTATTGCTTACTCAGTTTGATAGTAAAGAAGACCTGGTTCAGGTAAATGTATTCCATACTCAGTTTGATAGTAAAGACCACCTGGTTCAGGTAAGTGATTTGCATACTCGGTTTGATAGTAACTAACATCTGATTCAAGTAAATGTATTCCATACTCGGTTTGATAGTAAAGACCACCTGGTTCAGGTAAGTGATTTGTATACTCGGTTTGATAGTAAAGACCACCTGGTTCAGGTAAGTGATTTGTATGCTCGGTTTGATAGTAAAGACCACCTGGTTCAGGTAAGTGATTTGTATACTCGGTTTGATAGTAAAGACCACCTGGTTCAGGTAAATGTATTCCTTACTCAGCCTTATAGTAAAGAAGACCTGGTTCAGGTAAGTGATTTGCATACTTGGTTTGATAGTAAAGACCTGGTTCAGGTAAGTGATTTGCATACTCAGCCTTATAGTAAAGAAGACCTGTTTGATAGTAAAAAAGCCTGGTTCAGGTAAATTTATTGCTTACTCAGTTTGATAGTAAAGAATACCCGCTTGAAGTATTTGTCTTGTATATTCAGTTTGACAGTAAAGAATACCTGAAGAAAACAATTATAAAATTAATATCATTTATGTCGATCATTGTTATTTCACACTACTGTATTACTTACTAAAAAAATTCGTCATTTTAGTTACTTGAATTCTTCAGGTAGCCTTCCCATCTGGCTCTGCGGGTGAGGATATCGTCCACATAATGCTCGATGCTCATGATACAGTTGAATGTCGCTACTGATTTGACTAGCTCAAACGGCATCCTCTTGAACTGGAAGCTTCCATCTGGTGTCAAAAAGGCTGTCTTTTCTTTACATCCTGTATCATGATCTGCCAATAACGTTTACTGAGCTCGATCTTGGTAAAGAATTTGGCTCCATCTAATTTCGCCATGAGAGCCTTTTGGTTGCCCAAATGTTCATAGCCGAACTTCGTCATGAGATTCACTTCTGATAATCTATTCAGAAGCAGTTTGAGCTGTCTTGCTTCTTAATTGCCATTTGTGAACAGTAGACTGAATTCAAAGACTCAATGATTCTCGCTTCTATCATTAACTTCTTGCTAGATCAGATCACTCATTCTATAATGCATTTGGTATAGCTTCATTTTGACTGAATCCCTGGTTGTGGTCTCGATCTTGTGTTGCACAAGGTTTGTCTTGCCTTTTTTGTCTGCGAAGATAATTGCATACTGGCGCAATATATGTTGTAGCTCTATCTTCTACTTGTCAGTCAGTTCTTTACTGATGTTAACGTCTTTGTACATCTCATCTCCATTCATTGGTCTTACGTCTAATAGGTCTTCATCTTTTATTACGAAATCACCATCTTCTGGTTCTGCATCTACGACAACCATACCTGCAATATTCATTTGTTCCTAAATAGCTGCCGCCCTTAGGTCTACTTCCCTCTAGAAGTACCTCTTCAACAAATTGGCATGGTAATCCTTGGTCTTCTCATCCACTTTCGCAGTACAGTCCATTCTGTTAAGATCTTCATATACTTCAAATGGTTCTTTACATTGTAGGGTGAATTTGTTGTTATCTGTTGGTAGCGTAACCAATACCTTCTGTCTCACCTTTAAACATCGAGCCATCACCTTCTTGTCATAGAAGTGCTTTTGACTACCTTGAGCTGTATACAAGCTCTCTTGAACCAGTTGACTGGTCACCTCCTATCTGTTTCTGATGTCTAACACTTACTGTTATGTGTTCCTCACTTCTGACTCTACTTCTCCTGTCCACATTTTTTTCAACAGACCTCGTACTGTTCTTCTGCACAGTAATTCGAAGGGTGAAAATCCTGTACTCGCTTGTAGGACTTCTTGGTAAGCAGATAATACTACAAGTATGTATCCCAGTCACGTGGTCTCTTGGTACATCTTCAGCATGCTCTATTAAGTTCCATTTATTCTATAATAAAGTTCATTATATCTAGGATTGTATGGGGGTGGTAAGGAGCTGCCTATTACTCATAAGTCTGCACACCTCTTGCATAAGTACTGAAGTAAACTGGGTCCCTCTGTCACTTTTGGAAAATCTACTCTACAGAACTTTTCCAGGAGTGCTTCTGCTACTCTCTCCATCTCTGTCTTCAGCAATGCTAAAGCTTCTGGATAACATATCACCCAGTGGCACCTTGGTTACCTTCCCTATAGGTACTTTTTTGGCAGATGTCATATGTCCTGCAGAATCTGGTTACAACTCCAATGACCCCCCCCCCCCACCACCAATGAAAGTTGCTAATGATTCTCTAACATATTCTCCTAAGTGCCCTCCTACAGTCAACTCATGATCCAACTTTATCACTTGTAAATCTATGTTTCAAATGGACAGCAACTGCTAGTTGTAGAAACCTACAAATGTAGAGGACGGCATTTCGAAAGACTAAAACAATGATATATTAAAGATATATGAAAATGATATATTAAGACAAGTCAAATGTATATACAAATGTTTGTTACACTGTTGGTTATCACAATTGTATCCAAAGCGTTAAATAATTGTATCTTTTTTGTATCAACTTCCACACATGCTGGTTCAGTTACTTTAAAACACACTTGATCAAAACGAATTCTTTTTCACTACTCTGTTGTTACAATACAATCTGTGCTAATGCCACTTTAGAAATCAACACTATACGCTCTTTACCGCTAAAGTCACAATCACAGTACAGATCTATCTATCTGTAACTAACTTTGTCTAACTTCAATTACATTTCGGACTCGCATTTATAGACTGATAGAGGCCTAAAACGTTTCACAGACTATGCAATATTATGATACAATAATACTCAATTGAAACAATGAGAAACCTTAGAAGATACTAGTAACATGACACAATAACACAACAAGTGCCAATTCAAAGCAATTGAGTTACACAATGTATGATTCTATCATTCGTACACAGTTACATAAACAAATCTGCTGTTACGCCTCCAGTCGTTAGTTGATTTTCCGTAACTTCGTTTCGACGAAACTTTAGCGACACAAGTCCTTAATTAATAAAACTGGTTTATTCTTTCCGAATACAACTTTACGATACACTTATTTTCAACAGTCGCGCTATAACAACGAACGTTAACTTCAACAATACTTTTTGACTGCAGTTCAATTACTCACTACCTACACACACACATTGTCCCGTCACGTTGTGAGCGTCTTATATATATACCAGACAAACATATATCTAGTAAATGCTAGGGCATTCACGA